GTGTGCATTTAGTTTTTTAATGTACTGAAACTAAATACTTGCTTTAGTGTTCAGTGCTTGAAGTAAAGGAGTTCTGTATACGTGCAAGTTTCCATTTAGAAAATCAGGAATAAACAGACATGCTCAGTTGTCTAACTTGCAGACTCTTTCAGTTTGCTGATGTGTGATGATGGATATCTTTTGCTTGGGCTGAAACCCTTGTTCTGTTCCCTCAGTATCCTTTCCTCTAACAGACTCTACTCAACTTCCTTGACCTTGGCATTATGTAAGGATCTATCCATCTGTGGCTTACTCAGCCATATCTTCTGTGTATGATATGGCCAAGTGGCACTGTAGTCATTTTTGCTTGTTCAGGTGCTTTATAATTTTCTACAGTATAATACTTCAGGGATAAATTTCTCAGAAGTCACTATCTATAATGTGAATATGGCTCTGTCAACTGATTAGAACAATTGTGTTGTTGCTCTGTTTCTCAGAGTTTATACTAGTGGCCAGGCAAGTACCTTCCTAAGTTAACTAACCAAGTGACTTCAAACTGCATAATAAGACTTACTTACTTCTACATGGTGGCCCTGAGTACTCTGAGGAAAAACCTTGGGAATGGTGCCATTATTCTGAGATGGAAGTATAATGGCCAATACCCTAGACACTGGCCCTCCCCTCTACATAGAGAGGACCTCCATAGATTCTGTCTCTGCATCATGGTGTAAGCCTTCACCAAATAGAGAAATTACAAAGATGAGGAGGTGTCAGAGTCAACTTCAAAACCCACTTCTAAGGTCAGTTTGAAATATATGGTATAGATTGTGTTCAATTTTAATCAGCACACAACAACACAGCCACAACATAGTCAACACACATATATATGTAAATCTCATTATTATCTCTTTTTGAAAATTATGATAACTGGAGATCAGTCCCACTTTTCTTGCTGCAACAATCAGCTGATGTCACTAATTTGGACATGTTATGTCCCTCCCAGGTTTAATGATTCTTGTTGAACCATGTCATTATGTGATGTCAATTATTAGGAAAATGTAGGAGTTATAGGCCACAGAGTCTGTGGGTGAGTTTTACAGGAGGGAAATTCAGGAACAAAGGCATCAAGAAGTTTTCTCCTGGTTCTTCAATGCAAGAACTAGAGGCCCATTTCTAGGTATTTCACCCCCTGATTATCTAAATTCCTGACAAGTTAATCTGGGATGCCTGGTGCAAGGAAAGGGTTGAACATCCCTAATTACAAACAAATAGAAGATGTGCGATTGTTTTAGACACTTGAAAAATATTGTCATAGAAAACTTCACAAAGATGAGGCAGTTAGGGCCATCTTTTTCTTTAGCCTAAAACATCTTCATGTGGAAAATATCCCACATTACCCTGTCCAGTAAAGAAAAGAATCGTGGTAACTACTGTTAAATTGAGGGAATAAACTTTCTATAGGTTGCATGCTGTGGTGAAGATACAGCTGAAGGTAAGTTGTCATCCTAAAGCCTTCCTAGAGTATACCACTGTCAGCTCTGAAGTCACAGTCAGCTGGGTTAAGTTAGTCTTGTGTACAATCCAGAGTTTTTTCTTGAGCAATCCTAGGAAGTGGGTATCACACATAGAAATCTGTCTTCGCTTCTTGAGGTCACTGTAACAATGGTCAGTTCCTGGCTTCTGGCTTCTGTACCCTGCTTCTCCTCTTCCTTAGAAGCAGAAGACACTCTCTTAGAGTTTCTCAGAAGGAAATGATTTGAATTCTAGGCCTGTGGATACTCAATTGAAAAATAGCTTGTGTGTTCTCTGGATGATAGTTCTGTCAACTCATGGATGCTACTATGAACACATTATCTATGTAGTGTAAACTGACTTCATGCATAGGAACTCGACTGGAGAGATGTATGTAATCCTATTTTTTTTTTTTACACTATAGGTTGTGGCTGGGAAGAACTTCTACTTGAAAATTGAGCTAGGCCGAACCACATGTACCAAAGCCCAGTCTGATTTGGCTGACTGTCCCTTCATGGAACAGGCAGATCAGCAAAAGGTATACATATAGATTAAAACATACAAGATATTGAGTCAGCATGAAGGCAGGCAGGGCTGTATGCAAACATGTTGGTTTATGTGGGAACATACATCTTGGAGGGTTTATATGCAGTTATGTAAGTATGTGTGGAAAGATGTGTATGTGTGTGTGTGTGTGTGTATGTACAAGTGTGCACATGCCTGTACATGCATGTATCAGGGGTATGACACATGAATAGGCACATGTGTATAATATGTTGTTAGTTAATGTTGATACAGACCCATGACGACATAGGATGGTACAGGGTTGAATATATTTGGCCGTATTATAAATACCAGTTGTTCAAAGAGTTTACCCTGGAAACTAGTGGTAGCTGTTTTTGAAATAATTCCTGCTGAAATGATAAAATCAGCTACAGAGGTAGCTACTGGAGGGAAGAAACTTTGCTCAATCCCATCCTGAACCCCTGCCCAAATGAAGGTGAAGGAACTATGACTCTCGAGGTGAAATGTTCCAGTGCTTCCCCTTATGCTTTTAGCCTCTCCAGCAATAAGACTGTTTCTTTAAGCAATTTGGTTCTGGGAATAGCTGCACTCTGCTTGTCACCACTCACTATATCCTGCCATTTTCAGAAGTGTTTTTCATACCGCTTATTCTTCCATCCATGACCCCCTTTGTTCTGTCCCAGATGCTGGAGATGGAAGAACTCAGAGACACTGAGCCTTATTTTCTGGGCCAACATCTAGGGATTTTGTACCTCATTTACAAGTTGCTACTTTGAAAGTTGTGCTAGGGAAGCACAATGCAGAATCCCATGAGCCACTAAAGTGTAGGACATGTGCCATGTCAAGGACTAGTCTCAATGAGAAAAAAAATGAATGGATGCTGCAGAGTCAGTCTGAGCACATTGGAACTTAGGAGAGCTTATAGGGAGGAATGAGTGGCCTCATTTATATTATTCTCACTCCATTCTAATACCTTAGGCTGGGTATATTTCCTTTGAGCTATAGCTTACAGTGACTTTTCCTCTCTTGTTCTCTTCTTTTGTAGAGGGTCATCTGTAATTTCCAGATCAACGTTGTACCTTGGCTGAACAAGATGTCCATGACAAACTTCAACTGTTACAATGCCTAAGAATCTATGTCAAGCTACATTTCTGCTGATTATCTCTTACTCTTATCGAATCTTCTACTTAAGTTCTCCTTTTCTCAGGCCTCAGATCTTAGTCACAGAGGATGTCTCTTGAGAGTGCTAGCAACAAGAGAAAGATAGAGACAAGCTCTGGACACCTAAGTAGTGATTCCCTTGTTTCTTTGTTTTACTTGCTTTTCATAAATAACTGTGGAGCCTACTGTTTATCCTTTGCTCAATAAAAAAAAAATAGCATTAGGTCCTTCTGAGTTATTGTTGTGCCAAGGCATATGAGAAAGTATAATGGAGTATTGAGAAGATGGAGCATCATACTCACATGTACATAGCACAGCAAATACTACCTACTTGGGGATACCTAGTTACTAGAGTAACTATCTACTCCAATAGAGCAGAGATGGCATCCCATGGCATCCCAGTGTTCAAAGGTTAACAGTTCCTGGAAGATGCAGAAAGATTGGGAGAGGAACTCTGAACTGTTGCCACATTACTTAAGAAACAGCCTTGAACGGTATCAGTGAGGCGAATGATGGTGTCATGATTAAAGCCAATCTCATTTATGTGTGAAGTGACACAATGTGACATATCATTGTCACACCTAAAATACCCAGAGAATCTATACACAATGATTCATTTCTAATTCTGTGAAAGGTTTAGGAACTTATGTGAATGAAAGCTATAAGTGTGTGTATGTGTGTGTGTGCACGTGTTTGCATGTGTGTGTGTGCCTGTAAAGTAAGACACAAATCAGCACCCAAATTGAAGTGACATAATCCAGAAAGTATAAATGCCTTACTCCTTGCCTTATATTACATCCTGGTGTGATCCACATGTTAGTAGATAAATGCTTTCTTTTTCTTTCTTGATGTAATAGAAGACCTTGGAAAGCCAAGGAAAACCTAAACTGCAAATCAAATCATATGAAAAAATTGATGTCAGAAAATAGTGAAATGGAAATAAAATATACAAATCAGATTGGTTCTTTGAAAAAATAAATAACATTAGCAATCCTGTAGCTAAATGGCCAAAAGAGGATATACACATTGATAAAAATAGACAAAAACAAATAAGGAAAAATGAGACATTACGACAGATACCAACAGAACTTAGAAGAGCATTAGGTCATAGCTTTAATGCATGTGGTTCTGTTAGCTGGAAAATCTAAAGGGAGTGATATATTTATGGAAACTTAAGAACTATTAACATTAAATTCAGAGCACATAAAGAATTTAAACACATTTATAACAACCTGTGAAATGGAAAAAGCAATTTAAAGAACTCCCAAAGAAACAAACACTCCAGGAGTAGATATATTTTTGCTACTAAATTTTACCAGAATGTTAAAGAACTAACATGAATATTCATCAAAACAGTTATTGAACTATAAAGAAATGGAATGCCTCCAAATTGCCTTATAAAGCCAGGACTGTACTAACAACAATGCTACAACAACAAGAGAAGAGTATACGTCAACCTTTTTGATAAACTCTGAAGCAAAAATTCTCATAAAATATTTGTAATCTGAATTCAAGAACACATAAAAAAATCATCCATGATCTGGCATCTTCTGTGCTGTATCTAACTTCTCTACACAGCCAGATTTTCTACTTCCTTCTCCAGACTCTAGTCTTTAGCATCTCTCTGACCTTCCCATCCTTACCTAATGCTCAACCAGCCATATCTAGCCTGGGTCCCCAAATATAGTGCCCTGGCCTAGTCTAATCTCTTGTTACTGTCTGACTGTGCCATAAATTATCTCTAGGCTTTATCCAGGACCCTTCCTACTTACCACCCAACACACATATCTATCTTTTGCTACATCCAATCTTTCCACAAACCAGATTTTCCCCAACAGTCCATGTGATCCTGGAAGTACATGCTGTACAGTAGGCTAAGTACTTCTATCTACTTGATTTCATTGTACTCAAAGCATTTCCAACCTCCATGGGCAGTGATAATTTCTAAGGAATATTTCTAAATAGTACATGGTTATTGGCCTCAGCTCCAATAACAGAGCTACAATACTCATTTATTCTATAGTTTTGTAACACACACACTTACGTATTATAGGACTGTTAGTTACAGATAAAGGGGACACCAACAGCAGAACATGCTGAGGAGGTGTTGGGAAATTGTACAAGATAATTCAAAAATGAACATGAAGAGTAAGAGCACTATGCTTGCCAAGTATGCCCTAGCATTTTAAAGGGCTCTCAGCAGATCACCAAAAGATAACACTGAGTAGCAATTGACAGTTGCAGTGATGGTCTCACATAGTTACAAAAGCATTGATTTTTCCAGGAAATCTTTAAATAGAAAGATAAAGATATTATATAGTTTTAGATTTTAAATTTAATACACTAAATACTGTTTCCAACATTAAGGATGAACCCCAGGGCCTTTTACATGTTAAGTAAGTGTTTCTTTTGTTCTAAGATTAAATTCCAGCTCTTGGCTGCTTTTGAGACATGTTCTTTCTTTTTGTAGTCCACTGATTTGTATGGTTGATTTTCCTGCCTCTACTTCCTGAGTACTAGGACCACAGGTATGAAGCACCACATTTGGCTGTTACACACATTTTGGATGTTGAAAATACATGCATTACCTAGAGAATTTAGTCATGTACAGGGACTAAACATAAATTTTACTGTTTCAGCTTTATAATAAGGCATGATGTAGGCTAGTGGGATCTGGTCACCATTCCTCACTATAACTATGAGGTCTCCATGGAAATGGCCTGGAAGAACCAGACCAGTTCTGTACTGAGGACATTCTTGCAGTAGAAGTGATGTAGGGGAGCTTTAATTCTCCAGTTTATAAAGTCAGTGATCAAATGTGGCCAAGTCCCACGGTCTCATTTAATATCTCTAACAGCCTGTTTGCCTCTCTCTTTCTCTGCTCTGACAACTTACCCACAACACCCTGCAAAATTTGCCATCAGCTCACTCAACCCCAGAGGCTTGGAGTCCATATCACAAGGAGTGTCCAGTAGCCCTGTCTTGGGTACAGAAATGGGAAGGCCCTTTATTGATAAGACTGATAAGGATGGCATAAGGACTAAGAATGTTGTCCAGCTTCTTAACTATAAAGTTTTTCCTGCAATTCTACCCAATGTCCTCTGTTCATCTTCTTTTTGCTCATCTGTCCTCCATTCTCATCACCCTACCTTATATGTTCATGGGGCTTTTCTGAAATCAACTACTTGTGTGCAGGGGCAGTAACCATATTAGCTGCACCCAAAGAACCTGACCTAAAACTAGAAGGAAACACAGGATTAATGACCAGAAACAAATCGACATCTATACTCAAAAGTCACAATTGTACCTTCTGCTCTATTTTAGTGAATACAGATTCCCTAAGGATGAGTCTTAAGCTCAGTGTCTGACTATTTTCTGGTAAGCAAACAAAATATTAGAGAAGACCTTTGATGGAAAGAGCCTGGGGACCTAGCTTTACGGGGTACTGTGCCATGAGCTTAAGTAAACAGAGGCAGTTCATATGCCTATGGCTCCCATATAGGCAAATGACATACATGGAGGTCCTGATCTTAAAGTCTGTACTTCTGATCTGCAGCTTGATACTTGTCATCAGTTATTCCTAAAGATAAATGTTATAAATATCATTGTATGCTAATATACATATTTATATGTCATGTGAACATGTACAACTTTATTAGTAGATTATGTGTTTTTTAACATATTCATGGATAAGCAATGAAGACTCTATGAAGACATTATAAACATTTGACTTGCTAATGGTATGAAACCCTTTAGGAATTAAAACATTTTAGTTGGAGAAATTAGGAGCAAATATTCTAAAGAATATTTTAAAATATTTTTAAAAATTTCAAAATTTGAAAATTAACTTTTTAATATTATGTAATATGTAAATTGAGAGTGTATTTTACATTGATATTTATTTTCAAAGACATACATGCAAAACAGGACTCTTGCAGAGATAGAATATTATTTGTGAAACAGTATTGACTATAAATATTAATCTTTATAATTTTCATTCCAACCTGCCAACTACACAAAGATCATCCTTATCTGGTAAGTTTTAACCTTCCACTTAATAGACAGATTTACTTTTATTTTCATATTTCTTTGAGTGTTTTTGTCTGCATGTATATATGTACTCCCCTATGTACAGTACATGTGGAGACTGAATGAAAGTGTTGGATCTCCCAGAACTGAAGTTACAGAAAGTTGTGAGCTTCCATGTAGGTATTGGGATTAACACCGGACTCCTGGATGAGTAGCCAATGTGCTTAATCACTGAGCACTCTCTTTAATCCCTTCCAAGTTGCTTTTAGTGAATGATTTTTAAATACTAAACTGTCTTTTGGAAGATTTTTTTTCCTAATCTGAAATGTGCAAAAGTGACAGCAACATTTGTACAATAAATATCCATCATTCTTACAATAGAATTGCAAGATAAAAATTTAAATAGTCATTTTCATACTGTATTTTAAAATACCTTCTTTCTCTGCCATTGTCACATTACCACATCTACCTAGAGCAGAAACCTAGAGTTCTCTAGAGAGCATGAAGCTGAAAATTAAGTATTCCATAAGATTTCCTCTTCCTTCTCATTTTCTATTTACTGTCAACTTTAATTTGATTTGCTTTCAGCAGTAATTCAAATTGAACATAGGACCTCTTATATCTTCTAACCACGAAGTAATATCCTCAGAATGTTATTTAATTATTATTTATTTTCCATTGTTGAGAAAGGGTATTGCAAAGTTAGCTAGACTGACTACGAACTTTTTCAGTACCCTTGGTGAATCTTGAACTTAAATTCTTCCTTCCTCAGCCTCTGAAGCAGCTGGACTTATAGCACTGTGTACCACAAGTCCTCAGAGCATTTTCCTTTTTCTTAATAATCAAAGCCCATTGGTGCTAGAGAATTTGTAGGAAGGTAAACCCCACTGTCCCTATGGATACCTATTAGTCATGGAAGCCCCTGTTCCTGTCCCCAGTGCCATACAGATACCACAGAGATCCTGAGACCATTTGGTGGGTGTGTCTCACTTCACACTGTTTGTTTTCACTCTATTTCTTAAGACAGAGAGGTGAAAGCAGTGGATGCATAAGAGAATGAAATTTAGTTAAAACTGGATGTTTACTTAAAACTGGATAAAAAAGATGTAGTGATCCTGGTGTAATATCAGAAAACAACAAGAAAACTTTATAGAATTTGAATTTTAGTCAAGGAAAAAGGAATAGGACCTTTTTTAGG